CTTAAATACTAGGTAGACCCTCAGGCACAGTTTAGAATGGTTTAAATCATATTTAGTTAATAGACTGTTCTTGCTTTTATTGGGAAATCAAATTGAACATTTCTTGTGGAGTCCTACAAGGTTCGGTTTTAGGGCCTTTGCTTTTCTCTTTGCATGGTATTTCTAGGAGATGTCATTAGCATGACATAACATAAGCATGACATAAATTTTCATTGCTATGCTAATGACGCCAATTGTACATTATATTCCTGCTGAAAATTAAAACTCAGGCTTGCCAGCTGTATGTCAGATATTTCTCAGTGGATGTCACAAATTTTTCTATAAATCAAGAAAAAACTGAAAAACTGATCCTTAGTACTAAAATTCAGAGAAAGATGCTTTATGAGAAGCTAGATTTATGTTTCATTTTCCAACATGTGATCTTGGATCTGCAGATCTTCTGCGAGTACCCTCTGTATTATACAGAAAACGTGGGGAGGCCTCATTAGGTTATTATGCTTTTAAACTGTGGCACTCAATTCCACCTTTCATTAAACAGTCAAGGTTAGTGCATACTAAGAAACATTGAAAAAACATATCTCTTTAACTTAGTGTTTAATTAAAACTCTGTCTCTTTGGTATTTATCTTTTTAACTGCTGTATCATTGCCTTATTATTTTTAATTAATACTTATAGCTTCTCCTATTACTGTTGAGCTTTATCACCTGTCTGTAAAGCGCTTTGAGTTGCCACCAGGATGAATAGTGCACTATAAATAAAGGGGTTATTATTATTGTTACTATTACTTCTTTGAAAAACTAAAAGCTGGTCCTCCATAAAGAATGGAAGCTGCAAAAAAGACAAAGCATGGACACACTGAATACTGAAAATTTTGAAATTACATTTGGTTGTTGAGGCTTCTGTGCAGTTGTCTGTTAAATCTATGTTTTCTGCTTTTTCCTGATGCTGAAAAATAAATAACTTGCACTTAGTGGCTGTTATGACTAGAAATTAAATAAATGAAAGAGTGGTCTCTGACTTCTAAATATTACTGTATTTTAAATCTCTTTGATATGCACCATGAAATGAGACCCAAATATGGCAACACATGCTAAAGCCTCTTCGAGATTTGGTTGTAAATCCAGTTGGTTGTGTTCAGTTGTGTAATATGGTAGCATAACTGGGTTTACAAGATTCTCTTGCTTATTAATAAATGCAAAGGATTTTCTTTCTTCCCTGCCAGGAAGGAAAAGCTTGAGTTTTTGACCAACCCAATTACACTTCATCCTGCAATACACACGGTGTAAAGTTCAAACCATACTTTATGTATTAATGTTCCCCTTATAAACAAAAAGGCCAAAGGCTGATATCACTCTACTGTTTCCATTTTCCACTTGAGCAATGAGAAAAATGGCAAGGACTGAGATACCCTGAAGCTCAAGAGCAGCAGTTGTCCCAAGGATTGTGTGAGACCACTGCTTACAGCCAGAGGTTATTGATAAAGGAAAGTAGAGAAAGATACTGGCCAGACCTCACTGATGGAGTCTGCAGCTTGCCCAATGAGCTGCCATTGTGATCACATAGAGGACCACATATTGAACGTATTTAAAGAGCCAGTTGTGCCAAATCGCTTTGCTCCGCCTTTGCCTGCAATTTGTGTTTATTTAGATTTGAGAGCAGAGCTCTCCTCACCACCCATGCAAATAAGAAAGACAAGTATATTATACCATGTTATACTGTGCAGCCACAGTGTGGCATTGGCACCAATTCTTCCCCTTACATTCACATCATCTGACAGTATAATGAGTAACTCCTTCTGCACATAAAAAAGGAAAAGGTTTTAATGTGTTATTTTATGTTGCCAGACTGTTCCGAAAGTGGTCTCTCTTGGAGTTAGCAAGGCGGGTGTGGAGAGGTGCTATCAAACAGAGGAAGCTTATACGAGGCCAAAATGGAATGATTTGATTTACCCTTTTCTCATTCAGGAGGGTGGAGCCAAAGACCGTTTTAAATCAATGTTAATGCAGCTTCTGTAAAAGTAGGATATATGCACTCTCAGCATCTACTTATAGGTCCATTATATAGATGCGCAATTACAGACAGTGTCTACCTCATTCATCATTGGTCAGTTTCTGGCCACAGAATCGGCGATGACTGAGCAGACACAGCAGACATGATGGTGACATGATACATGCATGCAGTGCTGGTGCAAGTGTATCAGGCGCAGCAGTGTTGTTGTTTTTTTTCACACATCAGTGTCACAACTAGCTGAAGAATGGTCCAGCACTCAAAAAAGCATCTCTGTGATCAGAAACTGACCACTGATGAGGGACTAGATGATGACTAACATGGAGTACTGTGAAAAAGTCAGTAACCAGCCTTCACTTAGTTAATTTCCAGCCGCTAAGTACAATGTGTTTATTTTTCATCATTTGGGAAAAGCAGAAAACATATTGAACAGAAAATTGCACAAAAGCCTCAGCGATTACGTGTACTGTCTCTTTCAGTATTTAGTGTGTCCACGCTTTGCCTTTAAAACAGCTTCTGTTCTTTTCCAGAGTCTTGCTTTCAGTTTATCAAAGAAATCTGCAGGGAATTTTTTCCCCAACTCTAAAGTTCAATCGATCTCTGACTTTTGCACAGTACTATATGTACAGAATTGTTCCACAATTACTAGCAACTTTGGTCAAGATGAGTAAAAAAGACTCTGTTGTACATGAATTTGAAAAATACAGAGAAATCTAATGTTTCATTGAAGCAAAACTACTCAAAGAAAAACAAATGCAGTAAAAAAGCATAGGACTCAAAAACATGCCACGATTCTCAGCCCCCCTAATAGCACAGGAGGCTGGATGTGCACACAAGCGCAGACTCAGCACAAAATGTGCCTCAATGTAATATGCACTCACAATACATTTGAAAGTAATGGTCAATTTACTAAGGCTCCACCTATTACCTGCACAGTCATGAGCTACAGGGTTTAAAAGGTGCACTGAAGCTGTGGAGCTGTCAGTGAGCTTAAGACAAAAAAGAAAATCAAGGTTCAGTGACGAGGAGACAGCACTGTTAATAATGTTCTTTCCCACAAAACATTCTAGGAGTGTTATTCTACTCCAGCTAAGAAAACAGAGTGGAAACAATAACACGAACTGCACACGCATATTGCAGCCACATCATGGTGCATTTCACACTGCATCTCTCACGTACAGACATCTGATTCTAAGAGGAGATATAATGTTATGCAGTTGGTAAATTATGATTTCAGCACGTGTTAGAGGCCCGTGCCTCCATTTATCTACTATGTCTTCTGAGAATGTTAAAAGAAGTCTCTGTATAACATACCTTTGATTCATACCTATTGCAAATTTATGCCTGCTTTTAAAGAGTGCAGTCAGCTGCCCTTCCAGTATCTGCATCCATTTTTTTTGAGTGATCCACACACATTTTGTGCTGTACTCCCTTATATGCCTATGAGAGAGAAGCACATTCTGCTGAAGGAAAGAGAATATATTTAAATGCATCTGAAGAGTTCATATATAAAGGGACGATTTCTTTATACAGAATCTCTTCAGGTCCTTTAGAATTTTCTCTTCAGGTTTTTAGTGGGGGTTCAGTCAAAGATTGTGATGGAGCCTGCATAGGTTTTGTTTTGTAGTGTATTTTTTGCATTATTGTCCTCCTGAAGGACCTAACAAACAGCTGTAGTCACTGATCACATGTGCAACCTATCAGATGGGGTAAGAATATTTATTAAGTTGCATTTTTAAGATAATGACAATTGATTTGTTTTCAGTGAATGCTGTCATTGTAGTATAGTCAGAGAAAATTGTTAAGCTCCGTCTTATTTTCTCAGCCTTCCAATCACTGCTGAGCAAAAGGTGTCTGCCATTACCTCAAGCCTTCAGCTCATTATCAGTGTGCCGGTGTTTAAATTTGAAGCTCCAGCTTCAGTTATAATGGACCTGTAAAAGTGAGATCACTTCGCTGCTTGAGTATGTTGTTATCTGTGCACGTCCAAAACCAATAACAGACCTAAAGAACATCGTTGTTGTCAGTGCTCTGTAAAATTGGTACTTACAATGCTCTTTTACTACAAAAGCTAAGATGGCTGTGTGACAAAGTCTATATCAATGGAGTCATTAAAGGTAAGACATAAATGGTCCACAAACATTTTCAAACATACCATGGCAGTATGCTTTAGCCTAGACTGTGTGGGTTTAGGTTATTTGTCTTTATGCATCTCAGCTGTCTGATTTTAGCTCAGTTATCTTGTCTTCCTTGGGTAAAAGTGCCTGTGATGAGCAAACGCATGGTTCATAGTGAAGGGTGTTGCAGTGTTGGTTGTGTTTACGTGAATCCAGCATTCTGGTTGATGCATACACAGTTTGGATATTTTTTTTTAGAAGTTTGCGGACTCACTTTTTCTCATGCCACTAACTTAACTGTGACCAACAGTCTGTGCCTCAGATATGTGTATGTTTCACTGAGTAGCATATTTGTATTTACTAGCCTCTGAACTGACCAAGCTCTGCAGCCACTGCCTTATGTAATGGAGTGTGTAAAATGCTCATTTAAAGAACAAACATGTTCTAAAAACTACTCTTCAATGCGTAACAAGCAAAGCACATACATACATGCACATATTCTGATTTTCAGGGCATTCACATAGAATAATTCCACTATTTTCCCCTCTCTCTTACACTCGCACACAGATATCAGAGCCAGAGCAGTGCTGTCACATCTTCCCATGTGCCATCCAGTAGGCAGCAGGCTTTGGCTCACTATGAAGCTGTAAAAAAGCTGGAAAAAGGCTGGTTTTAGCAAAACAGTTGTTTTTATAGTTTAATAGCAGTGTCTCCTGCAGGCTTTACTTTATGGAAAAGTTTCTCTGCTCGGAGAGGCTGTAGTGAATCCGTGCAGTGCTGCGGCTTTGATTTCTGTTGGCAGTGTTGTGAAGAATGAGTGGTGAATCAGCTGTTTTGATGCATTGCTCTCCCTCCTGTTCGGTGTGTTTGTGACAGCTGCTGCTCGGGATGATGGGCTCCACGGACGAGGTGCTGCAGGAGGCGGCAGCCGGCTGCGTGGCCAACATTCGTCGTCTGGCGCTGGCCAATGAGAAGGCTAAGTATGGCTAATAAACAAAAACGTCAGCGTTCCCCACATCTGAGTTGCAAGGAGTTGATTTGATTGATTTGATTGATAACTGATGTTTATGAATGCGTGTGTACAGCTACCTGGAATATGAATTTTTGATTTTTTTCTTCTGTAATAGCAGAAAACACTAAACATGTCATCAGTTTTTCTCCTCACACAGTCCTGTTTGTCACATACTTCAGTTTTTACTGAAGATTCGTTTAACAATAAACTCTTTCTTGCACTGTTTGTGGCCCTGTCAAGTGTTACACACATTATTCCAATAGAAGCTACACACACACACACAGCAGGAGTGTATATGCGTCTGAACAAAGAAAACATCTGCTAATATCTATCTCTCTTCAAAATGTTCATGCAGCTCTGTAATTAATGTTGCGTACTTATTTTCCTTTCTCGCCATCTTTCTCTCTCTCTTTCTCACTACATCTTTTATTATCTGTCTCTCTCTCTTTCTCTTCTTCATTCTCTCTCTCGCCATCTCTCTCTGCTCTCTCTTTTTCATTGTCTCTCTTTCTGTCTCTTTCACACTATAAATCTCTGTTTCTCTTCTTCTCTCTCTCTTTTTCTACTTCTGTCTCTCTTTCTATGTCAAATCCAAAGTAGCTTTAAATTCAGATTAGCTTTATTGGCATTACTGTTTTAAGTAGTGTTGCCAAAGCATATAAACTTCAAAGCTGACCACACTTTGTAGAACTAATAGCAAGTATAGAATTAATGATAGTAATAATTACAATAATCGTAGGGAAATAACAATAATAATTAAAAGAAATAAATAAGGTAAGTAAGTAAAATAAAACGTATTGAATAAGAAAAATAATAATAGACAATATATTTAACTTATTTACAGTGAGGTTCAGTGGGGTCCGGGTGTCACTCACTCTTCAAGGGGTTCTTTATCTCTCTCTTTCCTTCTTTCCCTCTGTCCCTCTCTCTTCTTCTCGTGTGCATGTTGAGTAATTTGGTTTGAGAAGAGCACACTCAGCTCACTCTTGCGTACATTGTTGTGTTTGTTGAGTGTGTGCGGTTGTATTCATAGAGTTCATGCAGACAGAGATATTCTTGTTAATTTTAAATGCCGCTCATAAATTCATTCACCAATGACGTGAATGGGCATGGCTCACTGTGCATCGACCCAGGAGCAGAAGCATTAGCTCTCCAAAGCCCAGTGAATGTGAACTTAAGCATAATTGAAGCGAGTAGGGCTCTGATGAGATGCAGCATGCTGCATTATTATTATACAGTTAGTTATTGTTGAAATATAGAGATGGAACTCCTGAGTGTCCTCATTAGTGCTGCCTGTAAAGACTGAGAGCGCACATGAGGACAGGTTAAGTGCGCTCCATGCTCCATAAAAATATAATCCTTCACACTAATCATCTTTTATATCGCAGTCATTATGCCAATATCTAGTAGCTTTTCCAGTATCAGGTCTAATGACTGTACAATAACAAACATAAACAAATGCAAACAAGATCAAATATTAGCTGCTGGAAAATAGGGTGGAAAGTTTTATAAGCTGACTTGTTGTCAAATGTCATGGTTATGCCTTTACGTGCACACACACACATGCACACGCTCACTGTTTTGTACTGTGTCAGTGAGTGTACAAGCCTCAATTCCAAAAAAGTTGTGACAATTTGTGAAATGCTAATGAAAACAGAAAGCAGTTATTAGTGACTGCTCGACTGTATGGTACTTTTGTTGTTGCATTTTGTGCTTTATAATGTGCCACATGTTTTCAGTAAGACTCAGGTCTGGACTGCAGGCAGGCCAGTCTAGCACTTGCACTCTCTGATTATGTAGCTCTGCTGTTATAACACATGCAGAATGTGGCTTGGCATTGTTATGTTAAAATTAGCTTGCATGTCCTTGACATTCTCCACAACGCAACATATGTTGCTTCAAAGTGTGTGTATATACACTATATGGACAAAAGTATGTGGACACCTTTCCATCACATCCATATGAGCTTGTTGGATGACCCTTTCTAAAGCCATGGGTATTAAAATGGACTTGGCCCCCCCTTTGCAGCTGTAATAGCCTCCACTCTTCTAGGAAAGCTTTTCAGAAGATTTTGGAGTGTGTCTGTGGGAATTTGTGCCCATTCTATCAAAAGAGCATGTGTGAGGTCAGGCACTGATGTTGGATGAGAAGGCCTGGCATTGACATTCCAACTCATTCCAAAGGTGTTCAGTGGGGTTGAGGTCAGGGCTCTGTGCAAGCTGCTGAAGTTTCTCCACACCAAACTCATCAAACCGTGTCTTTATGGACCTCAATTTGTGCATGGGGGCACAGTCATGCTGAAACAGGAAAGGGCCTTCCTCAAACTGTTGCCACAAAGTTGGAAGCGTATAATTGTCTAAAATGTTTTTGTATGCAGTAGCATTAACATTACACTTCACTGGAAGTAAGGGGCCCTGCAATGGACTGGCGACCTGTCCAGGGTGTATCCTGCCTTCCGCCCAATGACAGCTGGGATAGGCTCCAGCACCCCACCGTGACCCAGAAGGATAAGCGGTTTAGATGATGGATGGATGGATGGAAGTAAGGGGCCCAAACCCTGTGAAATGGCCCTAGACCATTATCCCTACTCCATCTTTACTGGTACTCTCCTGACATCCTACAAACCCAGATTTGTCCATCAGACAGCCAGATGGTGACGTGTAATTCATCACTCCAGAGAACAATTTTCCTCTGCTTCAGAGTCCAGTGGTGGCATGCTTTAGACCACTACATCCTATTTCATGAAGCTCCTGACAGACAGTTCTTGTGTAAATGTTGCTTCTAGAGGTGGTTTGGAGCTCACTAATGATAAAACAGACAATAGGCGATTTTTACACGCTTTGTGGTTCAGCACTTGTCAGCCCCACTCTTTGGTCTGCTGCTTCGTGGCTGAGCTGGTGTTGCCTGTAGACACTCACTTTTCATAATAATAGCACTTACAGTTGACCAGGGCAGATCTAGCAAGGCACAAATTTCACAAACTGACTTGTGGCAAAGTTGACATTCTATGGCAGTGGCACGTTTAAAGTCACCAAGCATTTTAATATGGCCCTTTCTACTGCCAACTGTGCATTCTTCCTCTTCAGGTAAGCTGAAGTCCATAAATGTCAGCTGTGTCTGGACATTGTTATCATATAGCTTCTGTTGTGCATAGTACAGTCTTAACTTGTATTTGTGGATGCAGCAGTGAACAGTGCTTATTGACAGTGGTTTCTCAAAGTATTCCCGAGCTCATGTGGTGATATCCATCACAGAAGCAAGCAGGTTTTTAATGCAGTCTCATCTGAAGGGTTGACTTTCACAGGCATTCAGTTGGTTTTTGGCTATGCCCTTTTATGCAGATTTCTCAGGATATCCTGAATGCACTGTAGAGAACGAAATACCGAAAATCCTTGCAATTGCTCATTTAGGAATGTAGTTCTTAAGCTGTTGGACTGCTGGAATGAGTTGTAAGTAAGTTGATAAGATAAAACAGTAAATATCTTGCCTTTGTACTCTTTTAGTTTAAACACAGATCAAATACAATTTACTAATCACTGTGTTCTGTTTTCTAATTTTCTAAGTCTAAACCTAACCCTAACCTTAATCTCACTTCATTACTTATAAATTTAGGACATTTTTTAGCCCTGACATTGTAGGTTTCTCTTCAGTTTTCCTACAAAGTCAGAACATTTTGTCCTGAAAATATACAAAAACATTCACACACGGTGCTCCAGTTCTTTGCCCATTCAGTCATGCTATTTTGAAGCCGAGCAGGACTTTCCTGATTAACTTCAATGTGTTGTAAAGCTAACAAGGGAAAATGTCGAGAGTGCTCACCACACTATGACAGTATAAACTGTTGGAGCTGAGGTGGGGGTTGAGTGGAGAACAAAGCTCAGAACAAAGCGGTGGACTTCTTCAAATACAGTCACTGCCACTATATGTAAATACAGCCACAGCCACTATATGTATAGTTAATGAATTAACTCAAATACTTAAAGTAACACAGCGCAGCAAGAACAAGTTAAATGCCTTAAATAGTTATGTGGAGTGATGCTGTAGAGCAGTTTTTAACGCTTTTCTTGAACTCTGCAACATAACATTGAAATAACCATGCCATAAACATGTCATAGCAGATGTCGTATGCCATCATGTGTTGTCATGCTATGTCATAATGTTTGATGTCATGATGTTTAACATTAGTTTATTAACAAAAATTAGCATGTGACATGTGCTGGCATGACATCAAACATAATGACGTCTAATATGCCAATTACCGAAATGGTAACATGACACTGATATTACTAAACCAATCTGTCATGACAACTCATGACAGCAGATGTCGTGCCATGACATGTTTATTCCATGGTTATTTCAATGTTACAAAGTAGGGTTCAAGTATTGTGTAACTGAACAGTGTTTCCCCACCCCTGTTCCTGAGGAACCCCAGCCCTGCACATTTTAGAGCTTCCCCTGCTTTAACACGCCCACTTCAACTCAGTAAAGGGTAATAATCAAGTACTGAAATGTGCAGGACAGTGGGCTTCCAGGACCAGGGTCAGGAAATACTGCCATAGAAAAAGCACTTTTGGTTCCATGAAGAACTATTCAGTGGAAAGTTTTTTTAAAGAGTCATTTCTGTAAATAAGAGTGTGAACTTTTTTCCAAAGGACCTTTAAAGGTTCTAGAATAAATAAATCTAAGTCAAGAACTATTTAGGATTCTTCTTCATTTTTTAACAGTGTGTTATCTAATGGCATTTTTCCACTGGGCAGTACGGTACAGCACAGTACGGTTAATCAGAACCTAGAACTATTTGTACCCTGCTTGAGTTCTCTTAAGCTTGTGGGGTTACATGATTGCTTTCATGGTAGCAACAATGGAGAAGCTTCAAGGTCTGATTTAGTTTTTACTGAGCATTTGGTTTTATATGAGAGTCACAGACATTAATTATGGCCAGCTAGTGTTTTAGATGTGAAACACCTCATGGACCTGG